TACTATATAATATAATTATAATTTATATAATATTATAGAAATATATATAAAATATATATGGGTCATGTTGGCCCGCTTGGTCGTGCCGTGCCGTGTCAACCCATGGACCTAAAACCTTAGGCCCAACACAGCCCGCATGATTGTGCAAGGCCTGACACGACCCGTGGACCATCGTGCCAGGCTAGTCCAAGTTCGTGTCGGGCCGTGCCGTGCCAATTTACACCTCTACCCTTGTCAAAGATTTTTCATCTTTGTGATTCATCATAAAATGATTCTCATCTTGATGTAGCCAATATAAAATCATTTAAAAATGGACGGTCTGGATTTTCCAGGTCATCAGTTCAAGATGAGATGGCACATGGCTGAAGCCTGAAGGCTCAAAGCCACCTTTTCTTATAGGAGACCGGATCTACTCCTCTCATAGGGCGCCTCACATGCACATCCTACCTTGCATTGAAAACATCTCCTGTACTTATAAGTTATTATTCACGAGAGATGTTCCCAATGCACGATGGATGTGTCTGTGAGGCGCCCATCTGTGAGGAGCAGATCCCATTCCTTCTTGAGACTAGATCTGCTCCTCACACAGGGCGCCTCACACATACCTCAAATGCAAATCCTACCATGCATTCAGAGCATCTCCCGTACTTATAAGTTATTATTCACGGGAGATGTTCCCAATGCACGATGGATGCATCCGTGAGGCGCCCATATGTGAGGAGCAGATTCCGTTCCTTCTTGAGACCGGATCTACTCCTCATACAGGGCGCCTCACATAGACCTCACATGCACATCCTTCCATGCATTGAGAATATTTCCCGTACTTATTATTCCCAGGAAATGTTCCCAATGCACGGTGAATGTGTTTGTGAGGAGCCCATTATTTGGTTATGGAGGCTCCTTTTCTATGAATAATGAAACAGGATCTCCTTCTCACATGCACATCCACCGTGCATTTAGAACATCTCCCGTGAATTATAAATTATTAGTATGGGAGATGTTCCAAATGCATGATACGATGTGCGTGTGAGGCGCCCTTTGTGAGGAGCAAATCCGGTCTCGTGAATAATAACTTAAAAACGGGAGATGTTCCCCTAATGCATGGTAGGATGTGCGTGTGAGGCGCCAGATGCGGTCTCCCTGATCACCAACCATGGCGCGGGGGAGTTCTTCAGAAAATCATTAGATGGTGAGGTTGGTACTTGGTACTTTCCTAGTTAGTTATTTTCTTTGTGTCAATCGCGCGTTCAGAGGAGAGTAAAATAAGACTCTGAGAGGAAGCGAAATCAAAGTAAATAGGCCGAAGGATGGGCGAGGTCGATGAGGATTTGCTTCTCAAAAACTTCTTTGCCGAGGTCAGCGAAGTCGAAAGGGATAACGAGGTTCTCAGGTTTCAATACAGTGATTTTCTCTCTTTCACACGCACACCTTTCTCCCACTCTGTTTGCTTAATTCTTGCCTTTTTTCTCTCTTTGTACTTTCTTCAAATTCCTTCCTATTGTTTTCGTTTGTTGCAGTTAGGGTTTCTGTGATGAGAACTTGTTGTTCTTCCTTATTATTTTCTTTTTTTGAAGTTCTGGCGGTGCGTATTTGTCTATTTTATTGAATTTTTCTGTAGCTTCTACTTAGTGGCATAATGGGATGTCCTAAGTATCTATAAGTGTCTTGTATTGGATGGTTTTATAGGGTGAAGGAATTTGATTTACGAACAAATTACTTGTTGAGATGACCTAGGAGTTTCTCCACCCTCGAGGTGGAATCTATCCTTCATCTTGTTTTTTGTTTAAATTTTAGGAAGGCATGTATCATCTGGTTGTAAATTTATTTGGCAGAAACACTCTGGATAAGGAATTCTTCTTAAATTGAAAAAAACGGATAAATGGTAATAATAATAGTAGCATATATATCATAAGGCGTTTATGCATGTGTGGTAAAATTCCCTTTATTGGGTATAAGAATTATGGTTGTTCATAATTTTTGATTGATAATTAATGGGTGTTTGTTACGGACTTAAGAGGAAAAGCCAAAACTCTGTAAAGTGGTTGGTGGAAGGCGTTATTTGAATGCATTAAGCTGAAACCCGACAGGAGAAAGTTCTAAGATTAAGCGCTTTCGTGTCTATTGTAGGGATGGTGGGGTAATGGCATTTCCTCGCCCATGTTGTCATGGAGAGTCTTGTTATTCTCTATCTTCTATTACTTTATCGTTTTGTGAATGGACTTGGGTCCAGCTTGATATGTATCGGAGGAAAAGTACCCGAGGCTCGGTTTGGAAAGAGTACAAATACAAATATGTACAGTACAAATTCATAGAAAATACAATGTTTTGCACTCTACATATTTGCATTTCTATTCCTTCCAAACTGAGCCCAAGTTGCAAATCATTATGTAAGAGATTTTTCTTATAATATTTCTGGAAGGGCTATAGAGGAGGGACATAAATGAGAGTTTTAAGGAAGAAATGGGGCTCAAGAATTCTTAAAGAAAATGATAACAAACTGAAGGGTAATGATAATTTCATCAGTGCACTTGATAGTCTACTTGATTTAGTTCATTTCCATTTTTTTTATTTATTTCTTGTTATTTAAATTAGCCTCTTGGTTGTTTTTTTTCCTCCTTTTTATCAAAACCACCAGGAATTCCAAAGTCTTACTTTCTTCTTCTTTGGAGCTTCTATCTCCAAGTTTTATCTTGGAAGCAAATTCTTTCCTTTGGTGAATAGCAACTTCGTGCATCTCCTTCTTCCTCTTATGGCTTTGCTTACATCTCTGTATTATTAAGGTGGATATTTTGGAAGCTTCTTCAACAATGGGGACACGGTTCACACATTACTGTATTTTATTAGAATCACTTTCCAATAAGCCGAAAGAGAAAAACGTACATATACACCCAGTTGGGAAACATGTAATTCTGTGATAGACTTCAATCTAGTTTCTCCATCTGCTACAAACATAATTTTCCTGTTGAAGAAGTAAGGAAGATTCTAAGGGTTCATTGGAAAAGGTTAGGTCTGTAACTCTGTATCCAATGCACCCCTCCTAGTACCCTGATAGCAGGGATAACATTAGGTAATGACCTTTTAAGAAATCAGGAAAATTCTGTAGGCCTTACCTTAGTCAAGCTTTCAATCCACCCTTGATGTTTCCTACCTCTGGAAATTATAGGTGTAATGTGGGCTGTGCTGGGCCAGCATGTCACGTTTTTTTATGCCATCATTGTAGCTGGCCATGCTGGCACGACACACTAGTGTGGGGAGGGGTCTTGGCTCATGGGCTGGTATGTTTTTTTACTAAGAAAAAATGAAAAAAATAATGAAAAACTAAAAAAAACTTAACAAGAGACAAAAAATTGAAAAAAAATCTCAAAACCTTATTCCATATGAATTTTAATTAAGGTTCTATCTCAATAAAACTGAAAAACAGTTAGGATGGATTTGATTGGGTCCTTACCAATGTTTATGGACCAAATTCTTATAGAGAAACGAATATGATGTGGGAAGAATTAGCAGACATTAGAAGATTGTGGGATGGCCCATGGTGCCTAGGAGGTGATTTTAATGTGATTAGATTTGTGGGGGAATCAAGTGGAGGAAGACAGAGGGTCACTTCAAGTATGAGGATTTTTAATAATTTCATTGAGACTTTTGAGTTAAGAGAGTTCCCACTAGGTCAATCTTGTTTCACTTGGTCCAATCTCCAGGCTAATCCTATCTACTCTAGACTGGATAGGTTCTTAATGTCTCCTGATTGGGAAGAACATTGGATGGGTTTGAGGGGGAAGTCTCTTCCTAGAATCACATCAGACCATTGGCCAATATGCTTGTTTTAGAGGTCTAGTGAGGGGGGGACATACTCCTTTCAAGTTTGAGAACATGTGGCTTACCTACTTGGAATTCAAGAAAAAGGTTAAGGAATGGTGGGATTCCCAAAGGCCACAACCTGTTTGGGAAGGACAAAAGTTTTTAAGAAAATTACAAAGGCTAAATAGGGAGATAAAAGAGTGGAGTTTGGAAGATTGGAGGAGAAAAAAGGTAGCTTGTTTGCTCAAATTGAGGAGTTGGATAGGAAAGAAGTGCAAGGTGTGTTAGAAGGGTATGAAAGAGAAAGAAGATGGTCTTTTAAAGAAGGAGTTAGAGGATATCTTGTTGAGAGAGGAGATCAGTTGGAAACAAAAATCGAGAGAGATGGATTAAGGAGGGTGATGGCAACACAAAGTTTTTTCATGCTTTAGCAAATGGCAGGAGAAGTAAGAGCTCAATTTCCTCTTTAGTAGTGGGAGGGACTGAGATCACAGATCAAGAAGAAATTGCTAAAGCCTTTGCCGATCACTTCAGATCAATTTTTTGTAGGCCATTTACAGAGAGGTGGACTTTGGATGGACTAGAGTGGGAGTGCCTGGAAGAGAATCAGGTGCAATCTTTGGAGAAGAGCTTTAAGGAACTTGAAGTCAAAAAGCCATATTCTCTATGGATAAGATCTAAGGCTCCTGGACCAGATGGATTCACAATGGCTCTCTATCAAGATTGTTGGGAGATAATAAAAAATGATTTGATGAAAGTGTTCAGGGAATTCAATAGAAGGGGAGTAATTAGCCTAGGGATGAATTCAACCTTCTTAGCTTTGATCCCAAAGAAGCAAGGTGCCACCTAATGTGGAGATTTTAGACCTATAAGTTTAGTGACTAGCATTTATAAGGTAATTGCCAAGGTTCTGTCTCTAAGGCTTAAAAAGGTGCTTCCCTCTATCATTTCCTAATACCAAGGAGCCTTTGTTCAAGATAGACAAATTATTGATCAAATTCTAGTTGCAAGTGAGTGTGTGGAGGCTCAAAAAAGGTGAAAGGGGTGGCAATTAAACTAGACTTGGAGAAGGTCTATGATCTTGTGGACTGGGATTTCTTGATTGACATTATGAGAAGGTGTGGGTTTGGGGAATTGTGGTGTAAGTGGATTAAAGGTTGTTTGCAAACAAGTCATTTTTTTGTCCTAGTGAATGGTACTGCAATTGATTTCATTGAAGGGATCAGAGGCCTTAGACAAGGAGATCCACTCGCTCCCATTCTCTTTACCTTGGTGGCTGAGGTTTTAAGTAAATTGATCTCAAAGGCTAACTTGATGCACTTAATCAAGGTTGGATTGGGAGAGATAGAGTTTTGGTCTCACATTTGCAGTTTGCAAATGATATTCTAGTCTTTTGTGATGGGGAGAGCCAAGAAGGTGTAGAAAATTTAAAGCTAGTTGTGAGCCTCTTTGAAAGGATTTCCAATTTGAAAATCAACTGGTCTAAGAGTCTAGTGGCTTGTATCAATTTAGAAGAAGGTGCCTTGAGAGATTTGGCTGATTTGTTGGGTTGTGAAAAAGGAGAATGGCCTTTGTGTTATCTGGGATTGCCTCTTGGTGGAAACCCTAGATCGGTTAGCTTTTGGAATCCAGTAGTGGAAAGGTTTGAAAAAAGGTTGGCAAGTTGGAAAAGGAATTATATTTCTTTGGGAGGGAGAATCACATTTATGATGTCCACTTTGGCTTATCTTCCAGTTTATTGCATGTCGGTTTTTAGGATGCCCCAAGTTGTGATAGAAAGAATCGAGAAGATTATGAGGGACCTTTTGTGGGAGTTGGGGGAAGGAAAAAAAGACCATTTGGTTAGGTGGGAGGTGGGGCAATTGAAGGGTGAAGGGGGTTTGGAAATAGGAACTGTGAAATTGAAAAATATGGCTTAAATGGCTTTGGAGTGTAGGCTGTCAAGTATCCATGGGCTGTCAAGCAATGGTTGGGGTGCAAGCTGTTTGCATAGAGCTACTTTGGCTGCTCCCTGGAAGGTCATCCATGACATTCTTCCTATGTTCCTTCCTCACATCAGGTATGATTTGGTTTTGGGTTAGAAAATCAGAATTTGGGAGGACACTTGGATTGGGGACTCCCCCCTTTCTGAAATGTTCCCTTCCCTTTTTGCCCTCTTCACCTACAAACTTGAGTTGGAATTTGGGTTTTGTTAGAAATCTGAGAGAATCTGAATTGCCTAGTGTCTCCACTTTGGTTAACTTGTTGAACACAGTGGTTTTGGGGGGCGGTGGCTCAAACTCTAGGGCTTGGGCACTTAATCAATCTGGGTCCTTCTCTTGCAAATCCTTCTTGAACTCTCTTGTTGCTACATCCTCCTCTCATTCCTTCCCTGTCAAGGAGATTTGGCTTCACCCGTTCCTCCTAAAGTCAGTGCTTTTTGTTGGGAAGTGTTCCATGGCTCCATCAATACTTGTGATCTGCTTAAGAGAAAAAGACCAAATTGGTACTTGTCCCCAAATTGATGCTCCTTATGTAAGTTGAATGGTGAGACTGCCTTTCATCTTGTAATCTCCTATGCTTTTGCTAATTTCATTTGGGAGTGGTTTTCCT